ACCAGACGGTTCTCATTGGATTTTTTCTTTTTTCTTTTTTCTTTTTTTGGGTAAAATATATGATTTAATCTCCAACACTTTTATAAAAAATAATCTGGTTCCTTCTTTATTTTAGACTCCAACACTTTCCTTCTTCTCTTTGATTCTTTCCTCGTTTCTTCTTATAATTCTTTGCTTAATTGATTCTCAAGCTAAATTAGAATATTGGATAAATCTATACCTAAATAAATTTATTTATAATATATAATTTCATTTATAAAATGCAAAATTTTTATTTTATTTTCACTTTGATTACATTATTTTTATTTTGTTTTCATTTTGTAAATCTATACCTAAATAAATCTTTGAATAGTATGTTCGGTTCTTCTATATTTTGTTAAAAAGTATCACGCTGGTAGCATTTTTAGAGTTTTTATTAGTGAACATTTTATTTTAACATTTTCAATATGAAGAACCTGATCGGACCGAATTGGAACCTATTGGTTCGGTTTCGATTCGATTCCATAGTTAGCTATGGAACCAATGGTTCCATTTCTAAAATTCCTATTGGTATTTGGTTTGACTTGTTTTCCTGTGGAATCGGATCAAATCGGACCGCGCCCACTCTTATTTATAATCACATATTTACATAATAAAATATTTTAAACGTAAATTCTATAATTTTCTACTTTTTAATCGTCTATTCTCCCAAAAATCACTATGATTTGCGATCAAACAGGGGATTAGTTGTCATCAACATGGGCTAATTAGGGTGATAGAATTGAAGATTTGAAGTGATCTAGGGCCTGTTTGGGTCCCATTTTTTCACTCAAAAAATTGATTTTTTGACCGTTATTTCACTATTTCAATCGTCATATTTGACTTCTTCTCTCATAGATAGACCCCACTTTTCCCCTAATGATCAAAAAATCAATTTTCAAAATCACTCCCAAATAGATTCCTACTTTGAAACAAAATTAGATCACAATGATCCAATTGACACTGTATACATGTGCGTGCATGTATCATGTATGTATTTCTGGTTCTAATCACGTGAGGTCACTTCCAACTGCTTCGACTGCACTCTTAACTTTCTCTCTCTACGATTTTCGCTCTGCTTTCTGTCAAGAGCAGGTGGCGCATTCTGACAGCGACAACCGACATACACGCGCACCGCAGAGTCTTACCGTGCGCCGGGGCTTTGTACCGTGCGCCGGCGCCAATGACTAGATCGTCGTCGACACGACGCTCAGGTGCTATCATTTTACTCCTCATAGCTTCGCTGCCGTTCGCAGCCGTATCAGCGGATTTGCAGCTGCTCGACGGAGGTGACGTCAATGCCACCTCCGGCAGCAACCAGACTCGGCCGAAGGAGGACACGTTTGCTGACATGATTGATCGTGCTCTAGAGAAAGAGTTCCCCGAGAATGAGGATCAGAACGAAGGTTTTTTTATTTTTTTTGTTCGTAGATCTCAATTCTCAGCTAAATTTTACTCTAAACTATTATTGATGCTGAATTCCTTAAAAGAATGCTTTCGAGGTCTTAAACCCTCGACCCTTGAATACCTTTGATAACTATTAGACGAAGCTATACTACAGTTGTAGGATAATTAGCGTCTACATTGAGCTCTGTTGGGGTTTGTATGAAAGACTCGAGGTACACAATTTACAGTATGATTCGATTTGCTTTTGGTGGTTTAGAAATCAATAGTCCTTTAGTTTTACTAGACAGTAGTCATTGCATACTTAATGGCTATTGTGAGATTTCAATTTCAAGATAGGATTTTGATATGTTTTCCACATGATTTAAGTTAGAGGAGTTTTTCCAAGAAGGAACTAGATAATGCAGATTCCTGAAGTTGATTGGGTAAGTTTGGGGTTCAGGAGGTTGGTTGTTCCACTTTCGTCTAAGGGTGGATGTGTTTTTAGATTGATTCAAGTTAGAGGAATTTCGCTACAAAGGGCCAAGATATTGTGGATTCGGAAGCTTATTGGGTTTAGCATTTAGGAGATTGGTCGTTGCTCGGTCTTCTCGTTCTTCTATTATAGTTTAACCTTCTTCTTTTTTTTTATGTGTATATGGAGAAAAGGCTAGATAGAGAATAGGTTTCAGTTGGACAGACTTGTGTGTTTTTGCATCATTTATCAAGCAATCATATTTGGAGCTTTTGTTGTACCTACATTTTGACTCGACTTGATGGCCTGTGCTGAAATTTCTGTGTCATTCAACCCTGTTATTGGGTTGAGTTGACCGAATCAGGGTTCCCTTCCACCAGCAAAAAAAATTTACAACAAAGTTTACCCTAAAAGCAAGTTAAGGAAGGAAGACAATGTAGGTCCTGCTGGCCTTTTTCTTTCTCACTGTGAAGATTGCCTAGCACACTACGAGCATTTTCAAGACACCTTCAACAGACAAACTGTGCACAAAAGAACGTAAACATATGAAAATTGAGGAAGACCTTTTTAATTTGAGGTATACGTGATATTTACAACTTATAAAGGAGAATGCATTTTCTACAAAATTAAGAGGACCTTTTCTATTTCATCCTTTTAGAAGAAGGCCTTTAAAAAAATCCCTTGTTATATATTTGAGTCTTAATATTTTCATTATTTGACATACTTTTTTCATGATATACATGGAGAGAATGGTTGTGTTATCTAGGGATTTTTTTCCTAAGTTATGTATCTGCATGAACTGGCAGCAAATGATGCAGGTGGCTTCAACAACAGCGTGACTGAGAAGCAGGTTTGTGATGATGCACCTTTTTGACTTTTCCATCACTAGTTCTTCCCTTTATTTATGTGAAACTATTTCAGTCCTTAGAGTAAGTTTTGGAACTGGTGATATTTGCCAAGGCCGGTATTGTAGTTTGTTATAATACCTGGAGGCCAATATTCAAATCCTCTAGCAAAATATACAGGAACTCTGAAAATGAAAGTAAATAATCTGCTTCCATCTATTGAAAATTTTGAATTGAACTCCTATGAGGAATGAGGTGACTTATGAAGAATAGTAAATAATCTGCTTCTATCTATTGAAAATTTTGAATTGAGCTCCTACTAGGAATGGGGTGACTTATGAAGAATATGCCTCTGTTTGTTTCCCATTTTTTCTTCATTAAAATGGAAAATATGACTATTATCAATCACATCAAGCCACCAAATTTGAATTTCTATCTTTTGTGTGGGGCTCATAATGACTATATTTTTCATTCTCATTTTTACATTAATATGTATCAAACGGGACCTATGTATGACCGGTGCTTATTGTGTAATGGCAATAGTGAGGTATTGGCAATAGAGGATTTATGCCAAAATATTTTACAATATTAATGGAAAAGCTATTTTGAGCTGAGTTTGTCGGTCCTTTTCTTTATTAGAATAGCTTGACGTGCTCGGTGGTCTTGTTACATTTAGCTGCATTATGTCTTTCCTCCATCAGGCAATTTTGGAGACTGTAGCTAGAGTCAAGACGAAGAAAAATGATACAAAAGATGAAAAGTAAGTATTCCATTATTTCAATAGAAAATTTGTTTACTGTCATATTCTCTTTTAATTAATTTCCTGATGCCTGTTATTTATAAAATTGACTCCTTTTGCAATTGTTTCTAGATCCTCCTTTAAGCTTCATCATGTTTTCAATCTGGATAATGACAATGGAGCTGAAGAAACTCCTACACTTATAGATAGAAAGGTAAAAAATGAAATTAATTGTCCTTTGTGCTTTTGCACATGACAAATGTTCTCCCATGATCCTTAATATTATAAAAGACAAGATTAAAAAGATCAACCAGTAGTAGTTATGCAGTTGAAATATAAACATATTGTTGTGAGTGAATAATGAATGTCTCTTGTGATATATGGTCAGGACAACGTCTTTATTATATCAAATTTCAAATCTAAATATCCAGTGCTGCAGTTAGACTTGAGGTAAAGTTGAGTTTGATTGGCACCTTTACTCATTTTACCATGCTGGTTTGCCTAACATTGTAACTTTGTAGACTTATATCAGATCTGGTTGTTGTCATTGTCTCTGCAACTTGTGGTGGAATTGCTTTTGCTTGTGCTGGACAACCGGTTTGTTCACAATCCTTGACTGGCCGTATTTAATTGTACTTGTGCAATTTTTTCTAGTCATTGGATCTCTAAATTTTCTAATTTCAGGTTATAACTGGATACCTGTTAGCAGGATCTATTGTTGGACCTGGTGGTTTCAATGTAGTCAGTGAAATGGTGCAAGTATGTAGCTTTATTTAGAAAATTACATCTCAGTGCTACTTTCTTTTGGATGTCTCTGTGCTATGGTTGCTAGGGCAGTACAGCTTATTGTGAAGGATGTAAACAGCCAAATGCTCTGATTTGAAGTTCAAATATATCTATGACACTGCTTCCATAATTTTTATTACATATTACAGATCACACACTTACCTCCAGCCCAATTGTATGTTACGGTTTAATTTCACATGCATATATGCTTTGGAATAAAACATATGGGATTTCTCTGCACTTTTCCATCTATTATCCTTAATGTGTATTATACAGGGGGGTTCAAGACCGTTTGTTTCTAAAAAATTTGTCAAAACAAAAAGATGTACTAATAAAATTTAGGTGGCTTAGTTTAGAAAGATATCAATGAAGTTGGAAAGTCTCAAAAATGGAAGAGGCGTCATCTGGGGCAAAGGGACTAACTAACATTTAAATAATTCCATCCTTGAATGATTGGTATCTATTTTATCATCTAAAGCAGCACCGACTCTTTGATTTTCAAGATGAGCACTTAAGATTAACAGCATAATGCAACACGCACTTTAACTTTAAGGAATACTCGAAACATAAAAAATAATCCAACTGATTGGCCTTTTTCTTTTTTTTTTTTTTTTTTTTTTTTTTGATAACCCAGGTGTCCCAGCTTAGCCGGACTAAATCCTGGACCT